GAATAAGACGGCAAAATAAAAATAATTATCCAATTATTTCTGATCGATAAGAGGTATAGGAAGTAATCCCCCTAAGTCTTAACGATCACAGAGAAGAACGCACAGGTTAGAGATTGGGAAGGAATTCAGTGTCACAGGACGGGGACGACAACGGCGACATTTAACGGAGGAATTTTATAACACATACTACCAGGATGTTTCTAATTAAAATATCTACGTTATTACATTTATATTTTCTGAAACGTGCCCTTCACCAAGGCTATACCTTTCACCAATGTCACGACCAAACACCAAGAATCCCCTCACCAACTCGTGACATTATAGAAGGAAGTGGGGATATTGCCGAACTTCTACTTATAACAATGGCTATCTGGCCTGTAAGATTCATAGAACTTCGACTTGTGTTGGATCGGTTTCAAAAAGAATATTTCTGACTGAGGACCTGGTAGAAGTAAGAAAAATTGCACTATATTAAGAGGTATGGTAGCGAAGCGGCAGAAGTATACGAAAGATTATTATCGCAAAAATTAATGTGAAGTCGACTTGCCTTATACTCATCGATCGAAAAATAAACTTTTATGAAGCTGGAAAAACATGCAGAAGTATTTTGATTCTATTATGAGATACAGTGGACAAACTACCACAAAAAATATAGCAAATACTATGGTCTTGCTTCTAAAATTCATAGAAAGTAAACTTGTGTGGGGAATGAACATTTCTGAACGATTACAATCTGAGAAGCTGGAAAAATTACTCTTCCTTGATTAAGTTTAGAGGTTCGGTAGATAAACTATCAAAGAATATAGCAAGGACAATAGTGTGACTTCTAAAGGGCCTTATTGTTAAAACTCTAAAAAATCGAATTTAAAAATTGGAGATTGTAACCTGAAAAGCTGGAAAAAGAGAAATAGCTATAGCATTGCGTTAAAATGGACTGTATGTATAGTGTAGCGGGTGGTCGCTTTTGAAAAAATGTGTATTTCGTCCAGCATAAGAAAATTTACACATGTACCGCTTCATAGCGAACCTGAACGAAAATATCAATATCAAAAAACGTATTGCGGAAAGCAGGCTCGGTTGTCACGATCTCTTCGGTTATAAAAGTTTCGTTCCGTTTTGTAAAAAGACGAGCACGTGACGGAGATGCGGGTTTCCGATTCGTTTAAAAAAGTACGCGGGTTGAAATTTTTTGTACAGAAAATAGATCCAGTTTCAGATGTTCTAACGGACGAGATTTAAAAAGCGAACAGAAATAATGTTATATCTAACTTTTGCACATAACCAAGAATGGGATGGGAAGTGCTTTGATAACCAATAGTGTACTTCATGACACCACTGCTTCATAGAAGATAACATTTTTAGCATTTTTGGCAATTAAACTAGCAAGTAGGATGGAGAACTACTTTCCATTTCAATTTTCAATTATATTCACCAAAACTAAAACTAAGCTGATTATAAGGGGATACACATTTTATATGTAACTACTCTCAAAATTAAGTTACCCCCTTGAATCCCCATACCGTTTGTCAATCTCTCACACACCAGGTGATTTCTTCACGATATCCAATATACCTAAAAGCCTGCCGCCCAAAATTTTCCACGAAAAATATTTAATAAACAATTTCCGCGTCGTTTGTACGTTTGTAAGTGGCAATTGAATTTTGACAGGGATTAAAATTTCCCGTAAACACGCCTGTTGAAATATTGAAAATTTCCGAGATCGGTTTAAATAATTATAGAATGGATAAATTTTCCACGTTTAGATGGGGAGAAGTATTGTTTTCAGACAGTAAAACTTAGTCTCATAAAAAATGTAAGCGCTTAATGTTTTCCTCCCCCAGTACGACGGCCCAGTCAGTTAGTAAAAACGGAAAGTCGAGGATTTCGAGATAAGATATATCGGTAGTCTAAAATGCGTTTTTTTTTTGTAAAAGTTTAGATTAAGAGCGGCCATTTTCAAATATAGATTTCTTTAATTGGTAGATAAACTTCCGGCGCACTATAGCTGTGCAATATAAAAAAAGACGCGATAAGAAAAGAAAGTAGTAACCCGCTCTTAATAAACGTGGAAAGCTATGAAAAATAAGAAATACAACTTCAATTAAAGCTTGCTTAATTTACAGGCGCTGTCAACTTTAGATAAGACTTAAAGCGCAAATTTTAGGTTATAGCAGTGAATTTATATATCATTTACAGCCGGTAAAGTGCATTTAACTGTTTATATAGGTACATAAAATTTCTCATACTATTTAGTGGTAAACGAGTATCTTGACCCAACAAAAATGGATTGTTCTAATCAGTGATGACCACCTTAAGTAGAGAAGCTTATTTATTTTTTTCTGATGATGGTTTCCGAGATCCCCGTGATAGACATCCTTACTTTGGATACAGCAATCGTGAAAAGTCTTCGAATACGGCCGTTCTTAAGTGAGCCTCCCCACCCCCTCATCAGATACGCCGTTTATACTCAGTAAATATCATCGCACTTTTTGGTCTTACCGACTAAAATTACAGTTGAAATTTTATTTACGGATTTTTAACAACTGATTCTGGATTCGACATTATGTTGCACTTTTTTCCCCCCATTTTTTGCTTGATAAACTGTTCACACCCCAGAACCATTGACGAAGTAGCCCACTCAATAAAAATTCAGGTTTGCCTTAAAGACAAAGTGAAGTTTCCTGTAAATAGAACAAGGATATTGTAATTTCCACTCATTTTTTAAAAGTATCTAAAATTTATATAAAGATACTTAACACAAAGCTTGATCACACTTTAGGTACATTCTCATTTAATATGTGTTTCGGAATCAATTTTTTGTCATTGTCAATCAATTAATTGTGTGGTTATTCGAACCGATTGTGCGACCAAATTGTCAGATTTTTCTTTTCGTATTCCAAGATTTATTTCAGGTGTTGACTAAAATTTGCGTAGTAAATTCTGTGGAAGTTGATCGAGGCCACTGGGTTTTCCAAATAACTAATTTATGCCAATATTGCGACTTTTCTTGGTAGCAGAAGCCGGAAGTGTACGAGAAGCAATTATAAAAATTCTAAGTTCAATTTTTCTTTTTGAGTTAGCTGGGCAGGTGTTTTGTGGGTAATGTAGTTGATAAGATAGGTTAGGAAATTTGTGGCATAAGTACACGTTCTCGAACTGTGTGGACCTGGACCCTTTTAATCTTAACACTTTGAATAATCTCTTATTGTCCAAATATTGGAAAGGTCCTTTACTAGTTTCTAGGGCTTCTAAGGCCATTTAGGAATTTTCAAAGACCTTTCAAGACCTCCAGGAGTCGCCAACCGCTTTTAAAGGCTCCCTCAATGGTGTATAAATGTCTTCTAGAAATTATACGAGTCTAAAAGCCTTTTATATACCCATGGTGGTAGCTTATAAAACTCTTTCAGAGCCTTTAAACCCTTTAATATGGTTTTTGTTAAACAAATAAAGCTTTCTTAGAGAGGTACTTATGTTACATACTTTTTTGTATTTACCTGAGCCCTACAGTCAAGCGTATCTTCAAAAAGAGCCGCTCGAATTTGAAAACTAAGCAATGGGCTGGGCATGTAGGAAATTAAGAGCCTTTTCCAATTATGTATCGCTAGACCAAACGTTCAATTTAAAATTATTAAGGAGGTGCCAAGCCTGCTTAGGGGGTTGAAGCCAGTGCTGTAAATTTATAAGTAAAAGATCATCCTTCCAACCAAAATCGATGTCTTTTTTGCGTTTTTTCTAAAAGCTATTTCCTTACGAGCTATTATAGGTTTGTTTCATTTTCGTTGTGCCACCCTGTATACAATTCGTTATTGCGTAAAGTCATAATCATACGTCTCGTAAAACGTAATGTACAAATTTAACCTGCTTATTTTTCGGATCTATCTTGTTTAATCCGTCATTAAACACAAGCACACCTCAAAGTAATATCCATAAAAAACTCTTCGCTGTCTGCCTCTGATCCCATACCGGTTTGGTTTATCATTACTTTACCATATTGTTGTGTTAAATGTTGTTTAGAATATGGGATTAGGCACAATCTCGATCATATTAGTTGAACTCGAGGTAAATATTTTGCATCAGAATTAATGATGTTTGGTTTTGTTTAAATAATGGTTTTGTAGAAGACTAGATTTATTTACTTAGTTGGGAATTATTTTCTGCGTATCTGTAAAAGTTTATCTCATGGTTTTCTCCGGTCGTTTCCGATAAGAGTTCGTATCGCTGCATAAGATAATTAGTTTCAAGATAAGGACGTGTTATCACCGATGATTTTACGCACGTGCAGATTATTATATGATGGCAGAAAAGAAAAGGTTTATAAATAAGCGAACCGGGCGTCAATTGGGGCTCTTTAGTGGCGAACGTTTGAAACGTAAAAGTTTGTGTTGGTGTATTGCCGCATTTGAGCTTATTTGAAAACACAGTTTGTCTTGCTTAATTGTTTGTAGAAAGAAGTCTAGTCGAGTTAAGCTGTAGTTGTGTTACGTTACATGGAGAAAAGTGAATTTTATAAGTCGAGCATTTCACGTTTACGAAGTTTAGTCGGAGTGCTGTGCACACGTTGCGCTCCTTGACGATGAACTCAGTTCTACAGAATTTGCTCAATTAGATCCCCGGTGGATTTAATTAATAAGGAAAACCAAATTAAGTTAGTTTTCAGGTGAATAACAAGCACAACATCCTTAATTCTTCCCTTACTGCATCCTTTCGTGAAAAATCTCCCCCGAATGTTGTGATTTAAGATAAATTTGCGTCATGTAACGATCCACTCAAGTGCCCCTACACTTTGCCTATTCGTATAAATAACGACCTTAATCATGCGTTAGAAAGCAGACGTCCTCATTTGGTCGCTTTACAGTACAGTCACGTGGAAGAGAAATTTGTGAATGAACCGAGGGACTTGCTCCGTTAGGAATCTCGATATAAATTAGAACCCCTTCTTCTGGAAGCAATTTTCGTGACAAATAAAGAAGACAGAATAAAATTAAAATAAACAAACTGACCTGAGTGTCCCTGTGGATACTGTACGTGCTCCAGCAGCACGGTTCGACCTGGTTCGAGTCCAATCCCCAAAACTCCAATTCCTCCTCGAACAATGGGCCGCACACATTCGTCGGGTAATGCAATTTACCAGTCCTGCAAACGAGAGAAGTTATAAGAATATACACACACAGACACAAGAAGATGGACGTGTCACGTTATTTAACTCGTTTACTGTGACAGCGACCCCTTTATTATATGTGGTATCGCAAACTTCTCCCTTCTTGACGTCTTTCTTTTCTTTAAGCTAAGGTATATTTTTAGCTTTGCGTACCTACTTGTCTCGAGTGGTATTTACTGATACACTCCATGTCGACTGAATTAAATATGAGGAGGTGGCGCTTGAAGCTCAGATCTAAAATTGGAATAAAACTTTCCCCGATTCAATAACTCTGTCTTTATTTCATATTTTCTACGTCAAATGCAGTAAATTTTTTTCCATTTCAAAGCGCGAAATACAAGTATATTGAGGTTTTCCGGTTGTAAATAGTGCGCGTTTGGAGAAAATGGAATAGGATAATTCTGTTATTCGCCAACTTCAGTATGTCACATATGAAAGCTCTGGGAAAATGATGTGTCGATGTTGAGAGTCAAATTGATTTATCTGCGTTCTAGATTTCAAGTAAAGCCAATACGTTCAGAAATATTACATGGTGGTTGTAATACAGCTTTTCAGCGAGATAATCGCGCAACGTGTCAATTGTAATATACATTTATGACAGTTATGTCGAGTTTATCAACGGTTACGGAATGCTTTTATGGTGTTGCTAGCTGTATCTGCCAGATTAATACATTCAATCTTCGAAGAAATCACCACAGAGCTTAATGCAGTATAGATGCCAGTTATAAAGGTAACGAGAGATTACTAAAAAATAAACGGCCGATCCTTCTGTGTGCCATTGAGTTATATAAAACAGATAAGGCAAAAGAAATCTTCAATCTTACTAAATTCCTTTACATTGTAATTACTATAGGACCGCGACGTACTAGCAAAGAGGCCTCACATTGCATCAACTGTCAGAAATTAGGTCACACTAGGAAGAACTGTCATCTTCGAGCACGCTGTGTGAAATGCCCAAAAATGCACAATTACTCCACATGTCCCAAAACAATAGCCTCAGTGTGTAAAGTGCGACGGTGAACATTCACTATCACCTCCAACAAAACAAAATAAAACAGTACCCCCTAACTAACCACGAACCTCAAATTCAAAACCTTTTTGTAATTACGTTACTCCAGGGACCACAGCCGGAATGAAGCATCCCAAACAACCCTCCCAATTTTTCCACTCCCCTTCTCTCACTGATCTCATCCAGTCTATCTTGTCTTAAATATAATTAACACACATATGAAAGCTCTCGTGGTCGAATACAGTTGACACTCGCCTCTTAATCGGACAACCCAGGTTCGAACCCCAAGACAAGAAAAAAGTTCGACGCCCACTCCTACTAGAGAGCCCTTAACTCGTACGAAATATGCCCGCACTTCCCCAGTTAATCGCCGGCGGAGGGCCCGTTATAGGTGAACTTCAAATTCTCATAAATTCCGTACAATAGTATGACGCACATCAAAGATACCCACGGAAAAGTAGTAGCCCTATATCAGAAGAAACAGTTCCCACGGCCTAGGACCTCCCAGGTAGGCGGCATATATTTAAGAAAAATTCCCACGGTCTAGGGCCACCCACGTGGGCGGTATATATCAAAGGAAAAAAGTTCCCACGCTCCACAAAATTTTCCCACGGTCAGGTGCCGCAATACCTACTCCCATGGTACTCCACAGTGGTTTGGAAGCAGAGCTGGTGACGCTCGCATTCTCTTTGTTTTGTTAGTTTAAAGTTATAGTAGGTTCCGGCTAACGTGGAACCCATCCCGTTTCCACTGATTTAGGGACAGGGGTGCGCTGCTGGGCTTGGTCAAGAAGCGACAGCGAGAGAACTTTTCATAAGATTTACTTAACAGTCATTCTAATTTGCATTCATGTCATTACAAACAATTAGTTCTGCTAGAAACTTTAACATTAATTTACTGACTGGTTTTTTTTCTTGGTGGGTTCTTTTTTCCCCGCGCATTTCTGTTTGTACGCGGTAAACTACCATTTTCTAAATTTATTATCTACTTTTCTCTCTACCGTTCTATTAAAATCGCGTAGCAGAATTTAAATTGATTAGAATCAACGTATAATTTCAAAAGAAATGGTTAAATTAATTCAATTAAATCCGTGAAACCGCAAAAATAATCAACCAGTGCCCTTTTGGCATTCCTAACCTCATATTCCAAACTACTCGTCTGATTTTGATAAGGTTTGAAAGGTTAATTAGTATTAAGGTAAATAAGATTCCGAATGCAGAAAGCTCTTCTGGCATCCTTACGCTACTTCCGTTGGGGAAACCCCAGAGCACGACCTTGCACCATAAACAAGGTCACGACCGTGTGACTTCACCGGGAAATCTTCCCCCAGCCATCACTAACCTTTCACCACTTTAAAGTGGTGGGGATAGTGCCTCACTCCTCGTTTAGCTTAGACCGTAGAGCTTATCCTTGGAAAAGAATGCACTAGCTCTTCCATGAAGGTCTTTTAATTGAATTATTTGCGCATGAGAAATATTGAAACTTTTTCATTCCTCACTCAATTGGCGTAGTTGGATCCATGCTACGCAGCGTTTGACAGAATGGAAAGAGAAAAGGTTTGGAAAATGATGAAAAATTGGAAAATAGATAAGACGCGGACGAACATTTATATACAGCTAGGTAACGTTAGAGGAGGAAACAAATATGGAGAAGATAAAGATACCGTCGGGGATCAGGGCGGTAACATTCGAGTAAAAAGACGAGGATGAACGCAAAAGGAATGAGGGAAGAACAAGGGAAAAAGTACTATGAGAGAAGTGAATACGGATGGGCTGAGGTCATGAGGAGAGGAATACTAGAAAAGATGAAATTTGACTTTAATGCACTGGTACAACAACAGAGAGTGAAGATAGAGAATTAGCGAGGAAACTAGTTACGAGCAGGGAGTGGCTACCGAAATACTTCTGGAAGGGAAAGAAAAATAATAAAGTTATGGCGTGGTTCAGATGCGGAAATGGGGTGAGAGGAAAGGATGAAGAGAGGAAGAAAGAAATTGTAGATTATGTGGAGAAGAAGAGGAGGACATGGAGCACATACTACAGGAATGCAAGGAAACTCAAAGGGCAATGGTAGGTGGGTGTGATATGCTGGAAGAGGATGGAAGAAGAGAGAAGAAGGATGAGTACGATCCTAGAGAAAAGAAGAGGAAACAATTTTTAGGTTTACGTCATTAAAGTTGATTGATTAGTTGATGAAGATATAGAGAAAACTGTCTTCATTTTTTGTATAGAATACATTGGTGAATAGAAAAAAGAGGATTTCCATTTAAAAAATAGTAATGGCGTGGTTCAGATGCGGAAATGGAAAGAAATTGTAGATTATGTGGAGAAGAAGAGGAGGACATGGAGCACATACTACAGGAATGCAAGGAAACTCAAAGGGCAATGGTAGGTAGGTGTGATATGCTGGAAGAGGATGGAAGAAGAGAGTAGAAGGATGAGTACGATCCTAGAGAAAAGAAGAGGAAAAAATTTTTAGGTTTACGTCATTAAAGTTGATTGATTAGTTGATGAAGATATAGAGAAAACTGTCTTCATTTTTTGTATAGAATACATTGGTGAATAGAAAAAAGGGGATTTCCATTTAAAAAATAAACCGATTGCATTTTGAAAACTGCGAACAGTTTTTACACTTGGATTACGCCAATTACTTATTTCAGTAGATCCTGAAAATAATAGGTAGTAGGTACATCTGGTTTGCCCTATAAAATGAATATTAAATTGTGAATGAGTCCATTTCCTAAATTTTTGAAAAAATACTCAAATAATTAAAAAACTGTTTGGTTCAGGCGGAGATTCATTCCAAAATTTTGGTAGATTTAAAAAGTAATAAAAAAACTATGGATGATTTCACTTTCAGGTAATGAGATTATCGCCTTGGAGTTTTCCGTGCATTTTAAGTTGCCTATCTTCACGTAGGCGTTCTGATTTTTTTATAAATCGCGTAATGCATTATCAAAGTAATAGAAATCATATCTCTAAGTGCCCACTTAAAAAATAATCTTTCATGTTGGTACTTATCGGTTAACTACCCTCTTTACGACGGCTGTTACTTATGAAAAACGGGTTTTATATTAATGAGTCTAAAGAAGAACTAAGACCCACAATCCAACTTTCTTCAAGTACAGACGATCTTTTATCATCGAATGCAATATCCAGTAACCACAGATTGTTAGAGTTTAATTACAAATGCAGGATTTGATAAGAACGTTTGGCTGCCATTTTGTATGGCGGATTGACTACACCGGACCCTTAAAAGCAGATGTTAATTTTCAGTACGTACGGACTTTTCATCCAATTATTTCGTGGTCTGATAAAAACGGCCCAGTTAATGTTATTTGCTCCATACTTATAGATATACCCAAATGAAACCAAGGAACAATCGCTGTTTGCTCAACACTTCTAATTATATCTCCAAAACTGATATGAAAAAATGAGTTTCTAACAAAGTAAGTGTGATCATAATATTATTCGATAAGATTCGTTACAATTGTTCAATTCAAGTTTAACTGATGTAAATGCGTTAATAGAAAAAATGCGTACTGCACGTGAACAATTTGCACTGTAAAAGACTCATGTTGTTCGAAAATGTCGCTTAATCACTCTGAACACCTTCTAGTTATTGGCAAAGTATAAAGATACTTGCATACGAAAGTTCTAATTCTTGCCACATGTACTTTAAAAGGTCATCTCATGTAAAACCTAGCAGTGAAGAAACGTATCTTGGCCAATAAGAAGTTCAATTTGCGGAGCTGGGTATTCGAGGAGCTTTGGGTCAAGTCTTCTCTAAAGAAGAGCCCCTTCAAACAATACGCATGTGGTCAAGTATCATCCAACGAAACCTGATGTCTATCTAATGTACAATGATAATGTATAATGATATCAATAACCAATATGGATCAAGTTCTTTCTTACGGAGACACTAACGTCGATGTCACTACGATCAAGTTGATCAAGAGTATCCACC